GATGGTCCTCGCTGCCACAGACGGACGGTGGAATCTCGAGATACGGAAACGACAGAGTCTGGCGATGTGAAGGCTACGTCTCGGACCTGGTGCACATCGCTATGTGAGCTAGCTTCCCCGAGCTTTCGGAGGAGGGGAGCATATACATCATCGTCATGTCCTTTGAGCGACGCAGTGAGCTTGTAGATGGTGGTAGCCATCCCCGATAAGATGGTCGTTGATTGTGGCGGGCTGGAAGACAGTTCGGGATGCTGTTGATGTGGGAAGTTGGGGATGGTTGTGATTGTGGTGGTGTTGGATGTGGGTTTAGTGCGGGACGGAAGCTCAGAGAGATGATGTCGTTTCCGGCTTGCTTGCATCGCTCACCCCCCGCCCTGAACTTCTGTGGATGCCCCACCAAGTGCGATGTGGTCAAGCCCGCTGTCACTGAGACCAAGGCCCCGATCGTCAACAACTCCAAACAGGTCCAGCCTGTTGACATCATCCAGCCTGTCCAGGACGTCGTTCAGCCTGTTGTTGACCAGCACATTAGGCCCGTCCACTCCGAGACTATCAACGCCCCGGTGGTGAACACTGTGGAGGAGCCCATCGTCGAAGCGGGCGACCGCTTCACCCCTGCTGCCGCCCTTCCCGGTAGCTACTCTGGCTACAATGCAGCAGCCGCCGCCGCTCCTTTCACTAGCTATGCCAACGGTGTTGCTGCTCCTTTCACTGGCTTTGCCAACGGTGTTGCTGCTCCTGCCGCCGCCGCTCCTTACGCCGGCTACGTGAACGGTATTGCTGGCCCCGGCCCTTTTGCCTCCGGGTCCGCTACCGGTCCCTACTCCGTTCGCGGCACAGCCGGCTATGCGCCCAAGACAGATGTGATTGAGCCCAAGGTCACCCGCGTTGAGCCCACCCGCATCAACACCTCCGAAGATGTCCAGCCCGTCGACATTATCCAACCCGTCCAGGACGTTGTGCAGCCCGTCGTTGACCAGCACGTCAAGCCCGTCCACTCCCAGGCAACCAATGCTCCCATCGTCAAGTGCACCAAGGAGCCTTGCACCGAGGCTTGCGGATGCAATGGACTTTATAAGCGTCAGGAGGAGTGTGGCAGCTCCGGAGGCCAGGAGTTCGGCGGAAACACCATCAACAGCGGCGAGAGCGGCAACGGTGGCAGTTTCGGAAACACCAGCTGCAACAGCGACTGCGACAGCGGCTGTGGCTCTTGCGGTGGCCAGGAGTTCGGCGGAAACACCATCAACAGCGGTAACTCTGGAAACAACGAGGGCTTCTGCGGATGCCCCAGCTCCTCATCGTGCGACTGCAACAGCCCCCAGGTGATCCAGCCCATCCAGAACAACTACGCCGCTCAGCCCTGCCCCACTGCCGCTGCCGCCGCTATCCCTAGTGCTGCCGCCGTTCAGCCCCTCCAGTATTGCCCCATCGACAACAACAACAACCGCTGCGACCGTCACGAGCGTCACCGGGAGAACAACAGCTGCTGCAGCAACAACTGCTGCAACAACTGCTGCTGCGGAAACAACGGCAACTGCGGCGGCGGCAACTGCTGCGAAATCCCCCACTCCATCGCTCACTCCGAGGGTGAGTGCACTGGAGGAACCATCAACGAGAACATCAACATCAACGTGAAGCGCGGATACGCTTACCCCGGCTGCACTGACAGCTGCACTGACAGCTGCACCACAGCACACGCCATCCACGAGGCCGAGTTCGGATGCCCTCCAGCCAACCTTGAGCTCGTCGACTTTGAGAGCAAGGCTGTCTACAAGAGCCCCAACGCCGTCACCATCGAGACTGTCCGCCCCAATGAGTACTTCGAGACTGTCCGCCCTTGCGCCCCGGTTAAGCCTGTCACCGTTGTGAAGGAGGTCGCTCCAGTCAAGGTCTGCGAGAAGACCACTACCGTCATCAAGGGCACCACCGCTCCTTGCGGAACCGTGTACTAACTTCCCCTTCGTCCTCGCCCCCTCCCCAACATTTGGTAAGAGTAAGTGAGGGATAGCCGGATTAGCAAGGATGGAAATGTTTTCTTTTGTCATTTTTTTCCTATTTTCCTATTTCCTATTTCCTTTGTCTTTGTCTTTGCTGGAGAATGAATGTTCATTCGATTCGACTTTGGTTGTGCGCATTTTTGGGGGGAGCTCTGGTTTATCACCGTCTTCGGTCTTCGGTCTACGGGAACAGTGTCAGATTAGGGTTGGATGCGAACGAATGAAGTCAAGTGGTTTTACATACTGAAACGTGCATTGCCTGCGTACTCGGGTGGTGATCGATAGTGACCCCTCATCTTCCTTCACGACTTGTCCGAGTCGCGTGACAACCTACCTCCCTTCACCGGATCGCTCGATCTTTGGTCTGGACCTTCACTGGGGGTTTCGGGTTTCTTGCGAGATGGGCCGATCCGAGTTTTTCGTAGCCTTACGTGTCGGCCCTTAGACGATGATTCCGAAAACGTCGCCATCGTCTTGGAAGATATCCTGCACCTTCTCTTCCGAGAGTGAATGGATTCCGTTCGGTGCTCGCGGGCACGTGTTCATAAACCGGCATCAGACAAAATTGGAGGTATATGTCACATGGTGATATCAGTAGGATCACATTTTGACAGCAAGCTGGATGGATGGGCGTCCGGCCGACACTGTGCTGCTGATAGCGATATTGATTCCAGTAAGTAGAGTCTTCTCCACATGGCATCAACTTAAAATTGAAAAGAACCTCAAGCTCCTGGGTCCACCTTTTCCCATACATCCACTAATTCCTCTTCTTACTCTTCGTCTTGTCCACCACGGCGGCAGCTGCCAACCTTTTCTCCTCCTCCTCCTCCTCCAACTGTATCGCCGCAGCCACCTCCTGCCCCTCCTTCCTCTCCGCGTACCATTGTCCACTCTGCAGAACCAGGACACCCACCAATACCAACGCAAGGATGACATGGCTAGCCGCCATGACCCTCAGCGTATCAACGCGCCCAATATCCTCACCGTACTCACCACTCTCCACCGTACGCAGCCCACGGATGATGTTGGTACCGTACATGATGAGGCCGATCATGTATAGCACCAGA